AGTGTACCTATGACTTCTGATTTCCCTCAGCTCTAGCCAGCCTCCCGCATATCAAGTTACAGGTTGAGCTATCCATTCAAGCTCGTGTTGGATTCTCTCGGTCACGACATGATGTCCTGTACTTTTGGACACATACCATTTTATTTTTTATTTTAGTGTATTCGATATTCTAGACTTAGTATTGGAGATTAGATATCCTTGATGTGATGACTATCAGATTTTGGGATGATAAGTATTAAACTTTAGAGCGTTAGGTTCGTTGATCTTATCACACAAGGATAAGTCTAGTAGAGTGTTGCAGAATTGTAAGGGGACGCCTTTACTTTTCTTTGAGAAGCTATAGGACATAGGAAAGCTCATTTCTTTCTTTCTTTCGTGCTACTACCTGAATCCAATTGGTATCTAGGTGATACAAATTGGTATCTGAACTTCTTCACTTTATTTCAAATATGGGTACTACTAGAGTAATTGAAGTTGAAATAGCAATAACAGAAAAGAAAAAAAATGTCCTTAGAAATAGATATATTTTCTCGATCGCAAAATGTGGTGGTAGTCTCATGTCGAGTGTCGGTTAATAAAGACACTACTATGACTTCATCGAGTGAGGGTATATTAGAGAAAGTCATCAATGCTTACTTGGTTAGAGTTAGGAAGTGTGTTATTTTTGTTATTGAATTGATCTAAGAAGTAAAACAAATTGTCTGGTCTAGAGAGAGAACATATTCGATAATGTTTTGCAATTATTCAAATGGGTAGAAATATGTGGGCTATTTGGGTACGATAATATGGACAGGTATGATGTGTTCTAGTGAGGTATCTAACGGACTTACAAGGTATGGCAGTACTAGGGTTATGTGGAAATAGGTACGTCGATTGTCAAGTATGAATACCAATTACTAAAGGAGTTACAAGTTGTACGACATGGTCAGATAATAATATTTAGTGTTGCATTCACATTTGAGAAACCAACTAGTTTATTACTACAGGAACTTAGATTGAGCATTATGTTGAAGGAAAATTTTAGTGGTTGAGCATTATTTTAAAGAAAATTTTTAGTGGTGGATCTTTGGTACAATATTAATACATTTAGGTTGTGAAATGTATCTTGAGGGTTCTGAATGAGTACTGACGATTTTATCTTAAGCTTCAAAAGGTAGATTGATACTAAAATAACAAACTTATAGGGAAAGAATGTCCTAGTGGATATACTTGGGTGAAGTAAATTGAAGATTTAGCAAGAAAGTGCATATAAATTGGGTTAGTCCATTGAATTTGATTGGTATACCTAAGTTTAAGGTGTTAGATCGGGGAAAAGGTTCACTTCATGGTAAAAAAAGGGTTAACTGAGCATGATGGAAAATAAAAATTTGTGAGAATTTGTATTTGGGATGAAAGTATATGATTAGAATTTGTTGGTTAAATAAATTTTGTATGTAATAAATATTTGTGAGTATCTAAGGTTGATATTTCTACTATTTAACTGAGTAATGTGGTTGTATGATAAATTTTAGGAGATTTAGGGCACACTCGAATATAATTTAAAGGAGCTGGAATCATAACTAAAATAAGATAAAACTTGTGGGATGTGTAGCCTTAAGAAAAATAAGTGAGAGCAGAATTATTTTCTCTGATTGTAAGAACTAAAAATGTATCTTCGAAGGGATCGAGAATTGGGTTCAAAATTGCGTGATTTCATCTATTTTGTTTTGGTTAAGGTAATAGCATAACATGTTAATCAGCTTGGTTAAAAGCTATTGAATAGAACTTAAGAGAGGAGTGTACAGACGTTCAACTTAAGTGAGATGATAGGTTATGTTGTACTGTTGAATTTAGAAATGAGTAGGGTTGGATTTTTAGTGAAGCATATGGTATGGTTGGTGGAGAGGCAATCAATGATAAGCTAAGATAAGGTGATTCGTAAAAATCTTCAAAATATAAGCAAATGTAGATAATTAAGGGCATTGTGTTACACAATTGAACTTATAATTCAAATTATTTTTTTTGTTATAAGTCTGAATTTCTGGTGGTATATTTTGTCAAGGTATGAATTAGTAAGATGAGAAACGATTGATTGCATCATTATTGAGCACGTGAAAGAATTTATGCATGCTTTGGACCATAAAGTTGTTACTTTTGATTGTTAAAGGATCTAAGGAAGGGTTTACCCTCAGACTTTTGATTTAGAATGTGAAGTAAAATACCATGGATTATTAGTAAAACATGAGATCGGTAAGCAAGCTAGATAAACAAGAGTTTGATATATTGAAGGAGCGAGATATTTAGAATTTGCACCATGAAAAGAATTTGAGAAGAGTGAAAGAATAGGACCTCTCGTATAAATCCATGGGGTGTAGTTGATGGTTGTTTTAATTTTTGCCTATGAGTTTAGATATAATTGTGAGATGTGAACTAGTTCGGTACAGACTTACTAGGAGTTTATCATCGACTTAAAAAAAAAGAGTTTTGGTTTAGGTGACAAATAATGAGGTATTTAATAATA